AAAAAACCTCGTATTTCACAAACAGATCCAAAAGTATTAAATGACAATAATAGTGAAGTTGTTAATCCAGTTATTGACAACACTTTAGCAAATACTAATGAAATCAGTGCACCTAATGATGGTTCAATAACAATAAGAAATTATTTTAATATTAATAATTATGATGCATCTTTGGACAAAAGCATTAACAGCAACAACTTCAACGATGATACAATAATTGAGAACATTGTACACCTGATAAATCTGACGAGAATGATAACACAACGGAGAGTATGGATGCATTTAATAACAATACAACATTTGATAATGTTAGTGATAGTTGTAATAATAATGATGATAATAGCGAAGATCGTGGAACGAGAATTCACAACGATAGTGCTGAAGACGTTGGATTTACAGAAGATATTTTGCATGATAAGAAAACATATCGACCAATACCTATGAAAACAATTATACCTGGAGTATTATTTATAAATGATTATGAATTAGATTATGTAGATAAACAACGAAGTCGTTTTCCAAATATTAACTGGGAACCTGATACACGAAAAACCAACAGTAAAACACATGGTAAACCTAGTTCAACATGGTGGTCTGGTAGTCGTCAACAATGGTTAAGAGCTGTTTGTACCAATAATATTTATGGATTATTATGTTCTGTTTGTGCACAATATGGAACAGATGATGTTCGAATACAACGAGCACATGGTGCATTTATTGTTAAACCATATTACAAATTACAAAAAAAAGGCCTTGATGGTATTACAAATCATGAAGTAAGTCAGATCCATTTACAATCAATAAGTACGGCAAGTGCAAAGCTAACAAAAAACGATAATAATACAATAATTGGAAAAATTAATGCAATAAACATGAATACTTGTACATTAAATTATTTACGTGCATTAGCACGAACATTTTTATTTATGTAAACCCAAGAATTTGCATTAAATAATTTCGAAGATCTCATCAAATTACAAGCTAGCAATTTGGCAGAACCAATAACAAAATGGTTATCAGTTTCAAACAACAAACAACGATATTGGAGTGGGGAAAGTCGGGCCGAATGGTTGCTCAGTGTTAAATCATATTTATGGAAAAAGCAATTAAACGAATTAAAAAATGCAAACTTTTTAACAGTTATGCTTGATGAAACAACTGATATCAACAATTTAAAACAACTTGTTATTTGTCTTCGTTTTTTTAATACAGCAACGTCATCAATAGTCGAACAAATTTTTCGTTTAACACCTATCGAATCTCAAACTGGAGAGAATTTATACAATAAATTATGTGAATTTTTGACAAATATTCAAAATGAATTAGAGAAAGAATTTATAATTGTATGTCAATGCTACGACGGAGCTTCAGCTCTTCGTTTTCAATTACAAGGACATTTTCGTGCTAGATGGTGTGCATTTGCTATTTACTTATATTGTCGATCACATCTTCTCAATTTATGTGTTAAAGACGCAATTGGTTCTGTGTTTAATAAAACCTACAAATTGGTACGTTCTACTCTTATTTTTATTCGTGATGGAGCATTTCGTGCTATACTATTAAAACGTTCACAAGAAATACAAGCAACGATTACAAATAGTAATAATGAATCAGATAATGACGATAATCTTAATGATACATCATCGCAAAATAACAACAAGAATAATCGTGTACAATATGTCCAACAAAAACCTCGACCAAAAAAAGCAACACTAGCAATTCCAACACCAAGTGATACAAGATGGATATATCATTACCAATTAATTAGTTTTATGTGGAAGCATTTAGCAGCAGTAGTGGCTACGTTAAGTCAGATAGTAGAAAAAGATGATGATGGTTCGCCAACAGCAAATGGCTATGCATTACAATTAATTGATAAAACAACAATATTTGAAATAAATGTGATGGAAAATGCATTAAGACATTCATATTTTTTTTTAAAAGAAATTGAACATCGATCATCAACATTAGATAAATTTTGCATATGTCTCGATTCGACAAAAGAAGCTATTGCTAACACAATGAACGTATTTGATTTTGAATTATATAAAGAAAAATTAGCTACAATTGACAACATTGTTCCAACAGTTCTACTAACATCACAATGTACACGTCGTGGTGGTCAACATAGGACAACAAATGATCAAAATAATGATATAAATATTGATAAATTAATTAAACATGGATATTTATTTTTAGATAAATTTATGGAATCAATCGAAGATCGTTTTAATCAAAATTGTCGAATGGTTGTTGATAATATTACTTATTTTTCTAATCCACAAGAATATGATGATAATAAATTAATTGATAATGAATTATTGCTGTTCTACTGTAATTCAATACATTTTAAACATAAAGATACGAATAAATCAATGTACGAAAAAACAGAAAATGCAATTTTAAACAAACATTTATTACAAAAACAATTACTACAATTTCGTTCAACAATTCGAACAATAACTGGTTTACTTGAAATTACAAAATGTTTATCAAAATGCGGTGTTTATCGTTTATCTGAATGGTACAAGTTTTACCAAATATTAATTACAATACCATTAGGTGCTAATGAATGCGAAAAATCATTTAGTGCATTAACAAGAATCAAAACAAAGTTACGTAATAGACTTGGAAATGATGCACTTGAAACAACAGTTAAATATGCAATAATGAAACCGTATATGAACAATGATGATATTGACTATATTGTTTCTAATTTTTATGCTAATCCTACAAGAGCAGAATCTCGAAATGTTAAAATATTTGTTGACGATAGTTAAACAAAAGTAAAAAGAAGTTAGAAAAAGCGTTAAACGAGAGAAATTTTTGTTCATAACGTGTTTTTTGGTGAGCACTTTTGTCACAAACAGAATTTTGTTTCAAAAACTGGGAGTAAGTCCCTAAACTTCCCCCCCCCTCGAAAAATTTGTAACGAAAACACTGCCAGTTGTAGCTCTTTCTTTTGAAGCAAATGATTCTTTGTGATTTTTCTGCTTTTTAGGTGGAAAATGAATGAAGATGGCAATGGTAATGGTAGTGAAATTGACGAAAATGCATCTGGTTTCGTGTATTATTGATGGATTAGGTAAGTAAACACAAGTTTTTCTTGTAAACAAACTGACAGTTTTTTCTTTTTCTTTCTATAGAGCCAAGTTCCAGAAATCGATGTAAACATGCACACACCGATAAGAAAAATGCTTCGCTCAATATTGAATCGTTGACTTTTGAATGCACGAACAAATACAAGAAGAAGAAGTAGGCATTCTCGCTACTTAACTGTTTCAGCATTCTAGTTCTATATTTTAAACATCTCAGCTTTCTCTTTATCTCCATAAGTAGCAGCTGGACAGAACATTGATTTACTTGAGAATGATGATGAACATGAAGAAAATGATGTTTGGAACGACTTGGAAAGAGAAATGTTTGGTAAGAGAGTAGAAAAGGATAGTCCAGTCTGCAAGCTTTACTCTTACTCTATTATTTATTACTACTGCATGCTATATTTTGCTCCTTCTAATGTTGCTTTTTACCTCATAATTTTGTTATGTTGAAGTTTGCATTTCAGATCATCGAATTAGATAAGTATTGTTTATTTTTCTTTCCATTTTGATTAATTTCAAGGTGCTTTGTGGAATTTTCTTTCTCTTGTTTAGGAGCATCAACAGTCGAACGCGTCGACGACGACATTCCATATAAATTTACAACAATTTCTACCAAGAGGGAGGAGAAAATATTGCTATACAATATGTGAACGGCTCTTAACTGTTTGAATACTTCTTTAAATTAAAATATTTTCGTTTTTACGTTTGTTTTTACTATGTACAACAAAAATTTATGGGTTATTGCAGTGGGTAAAAGCAAATAAAACGTACAAACGGTGATTCATAGCATTTCCAGAGTTTGTACAGACTTTCTCTATAAGACTCTGACCTGAGTTCTAGAGTATTGAAACTCTGTCCTGATTCGGTACCAAGCCTCTTGCCAAGAGTCTTGAAATGAAAAACATATAGGCTAGACTCTGAACAGAGCCGTCCAGAGTCCAGACTCTCTATCTGTGCGTTCTTCTGCATATGACTTTAAACAACACGTGGACGGATGTTTTTATGAGCTTCCACTTTATACATAAAATCTATGTAGCATCATATCTCCCTAAAGGTCTCTTAATTTTAAGTAATCCATTTCTGGTAACAAACAAAACTCATTGACGACAATGCGCACATTTGAGCAAAAAAGGCACCATAACGTCCGTATGAATCGCTTTACATTTGTTGAAAATTTATCAAAAAACCTCACTCTGAAGAACGTTGACAGATGATTGAGACTTTGATTTCACCATGTTTTGCCCGATTTTCTCTTCGGGAACATGATACAATCAAGCTATCTCATTCACTTTGAACTCAGTTAAAGAGCGAGCTCAAAACATATACACAACAATTTTTTTTTTCTCAAGCAGAAAATCCTTCCTTGATTCACAGAAACTGTGCTTATTTTCTTTTATAAAGCTCTCATAGCATCGGAAAAAAATATATAGTTCGTTTTGAGTTGCGAAAAAGTGCTTTTTCCGTATTCAGCACATTTCATAACTCAGAAGATTTTCTATGTTTGACGAGGGGTACCTCCAAAAGTTTAGGAATAATTTCGAAATTAATATCGCTTTCCCATGGTAATTTTTTTGCGCCATTTTGTTTGCAAATTTTTCCTAAACTTTTGTACGTACCTCTCGCGAAAAATAGATAATCTTCTGGGTTATGGAGTGTTCTGAATATGGAAAAACGGTTTTCCACAACTCCAACCGAACTTTATGCTTTTCTTTCCTGTGATATAACACTTTAGAAAATATTGTACAGACAGACTATTTTTCCACTTATCTCGTTTAAAATGAGAATAAAAACACTGATAACATATATAAAATATAAATTCTTAAGAAAAAGAAAAAAGTGTCGTTATACTTTCTCACTGAAATAGTACGAACCAATTAGAGAAGAGGATAATTTCCCTCTAATGCTTATCTTGACCTAAGTTCAGTTGTAACCGAACACAGCGAAATTTCAGCATAGTAATTCTTAAACTAACGTTAAATTTACTGATCTTTACTCAAATCAGCCTTTAATTCATAACTTTATATCACCCAGGTCCAAGAAAACGGCACCGTTAACGGCCCGTTAACTGGTCGTTAACGGTAAGTTAACGTGCCGTAAACGGACCGTTTTTAGTTCCTAAACGGACCGTTTTCAGAACCTAAAACTCGTAACG